ATTTCCCTGCTTTCCCTCCCACACACTTGCCTGCCAATTCCTCTGCCGCTGCCATTCCCTGCAGCGCAAGCCTCTTCCTGTGCTGCTCCCCACGGCCCCCACCGCTGCCACAGCCTCCACCATTCCCCATGGCCCCTGCCACTTCCTCCACCACACCCCCCACCACTGCCACAGCCTCCACCATTCTCTGCAGCTCCCCACTGCTGATGTGGCCTCTGCCACTCCCTGTGGCCCCTGCCACAGCCTCTACCACTCCCTGCAAGTCCCGCCACTTCCCATGCCACTCCCCACTGCCACCGCTGCTCCCCAATGTCAAAGCAACCATTTTTATCTCCAGGTGACATTTCAACACAAAGCAAAAATGTTCCTTTGGACTTTGAATGTCGTTTGCTTTGGCTTCTCAGTCCAGAACAAAACAAATCGACATTTTACATGGAAAAAGTTGATTCAAAAGAAAAACATTCGCTGGATCTTACGGTATTTCATTTGATTTTTCCAGAGTCAAAATGAAGCAGCTTTTTAAGCTGAAATAGGAAAGTTCCTTTTGTTTTGGATTTCTGATTCAAAGTTCCCATGAAGCTCAGCGGGGGACGAATTCCTTCCGAAAACCCCAGAGCTCCCCGCTGAAAACCTGTGAGCCATGATTTTTCATTTGAAATTTCTCACTGGCCAGTTTGGTTCTCCAACTAGATCCAATGAACGTTTACTCCTGGCCAGGTCTTAGAGTCTCCAAGCGGAGGGACAGCCAGCCAGCGACAACCATGGGGTCTGTCTGCATCCACCAGCCTCAGTACTGAATCTCCCTTTAGATCCATTACAGGCGAGTCTGGTGTCTTATGAAAGACATGCAAAGGAAACTTATCACTGGGCTTTCACTTCTGTGTCTTTCTAATGAGTCCCACCGAGACCAAACTTCAAAGCTAGCAGGTTCACTGCATCCTTCACCAAAGGATAGTGTTGTTTCTGCATCATGCTTCAGCTCAAGGGAAGGCTGGCACACTCCTCTTTGATCCATGCTGGCCTTCTCCAGGTGGGCACTTTGCCATTTCAAGGACAAAGATGTCTCCACTTCTTCATCTCAGCTCCCAGCTGAACCCTGCCTTGGACATGCTGCCTCCAGAGGAAGCTCTACACTTGATATGTCCCAGGGGTAAAGGGTATGGCCTGCACCAGTGCAAGATATGCACTTGGAGCCCTGAAAGGAGGCAGGAGCCCTCTGCAACTCAACCTTTCTCCCCACCCCTGCCCACTGGTGCTCTCCCACTGGCACGTTTGCAACCAGTTCGTCCCAGTGGAGAAGTGGGGGTGGTTTGCTGGGTGGCATTCTCCATTGGACCACTAGTTGGAAGGGTCCTGGCACAGGCAGGCAGGGTCCCTAGTGTCTTCCCTTAAAGACACAGCATCTGCCATGTCTCACGCCATGCTCCATGCTACCATGGAGGCCCATCTCTGAAAACCAAGTGGCCTTATGGTTGTCATGGTCGTGGGCAGAGGTGCTCTAGCCTTCAATACCTCCTGCACTCCACTCCTCACTGCTCTGTCCTTAGCTCATGAATGCACGGGCACTGGAACCGCCAGTGCCAGGAAGTTTCTTAATCTGCATTCATCCCAGACAGAGGAGAGAAGGGTTGGGCAAGTGCCACGGGGCTGGGAGAGACAAAGATTTCAGGATAACCCTCTTACTCACCCGCCTTTGAACCAGAGAGACTTAGCTTCTCCAGCACCTCGAGCCTGCAAGACAGAAAGTTCAGAGTTACCTGCTGTAAGCCATGCTACCTTCAGCACAAAATTAATAGCAAAAAGACAGAGCTGGGATGAGCTATAGGCAGGAGATATACTGGGACATGGCTGCATTTCAGAACACGTCCCCAGCTGGTGCTCACAAGCACCTGGGGAAGCCTGGGAAGAGATTGCATAGGGCAGCAGACGTTGGATTGACTGAAGCAGACAAGGATGTCCCCACAGAGGAGGTGGCCTCGGGAGAACAATGTATGACAGTCTTGAGATGAATCGCAGCTAAATTTGACTGCATGAACGGGAGCAACGAGACCCACAGACCTCCATCCACACCGAGTCTAGCAAAGCAGCAGGGACAAGCTGCTACCTAGCAGTGGGACAGAGCTGGTTAACCCTTTGCTAGCAGCACGGCCACAGTGCATGGGCTAGGGGAGCCTGGAAGCAACCAAACAGAGTCCTCTACTTGGGACGTGCTGCAGAGGGGTGCATGCAGAGGCCAGGTAGCCACCATCAGCTTTTCTCTCTTGGTACATTTTTTCTCTTGCCGAGAAATTTTGTGAGGGGGACAAGAATATGAAGGGGATGCCATGTCAATAAAGCCCCCTGGAGCATGGCACCACTATCCTCCCTGCACACACGCAGCCCCCAGGTTGGGTACACACAGCACCAGGGAGGAGGGCTCAAACCAAACACACTTACCTGCATGCATGCTACACCCCTTCCCCATAGGAAGGTGGGACGTGGACACAAGGACCATGGTGGTGAACAACTGAAAAGAGAAGCGGTGGGGAGGGAAACCAAAGCCCCAGGGGGTGAATCCGGAGCCCAAAGAAAAAAGAAAGATGGAGGATGGAGTCTAAAAACAGAACAAAAAAATGTCAACTGAACAGAAGGTACGAGGGCGAGGGAGCAGCACTGACAGACTGCCACGCCATGGAGCACACGCCGGCTGAGCTCCGTGCCCACCGGGGAGCCCGCGCTGCAGCTGGAGGTGTGGGCGAGTGTACCGGAGCTAGCAGCAATGTCAGTAACAGCAGGACAAGCTTCAGCTCAGCCTAGCCACTTCAGCGTGTGCCCTGTGGCACAGCTGGGCTTGTATTGCCCGCAGCGGAGCCCACACTGCCGCAACTTCACTGCAATTGCTACCTATGCCAGGGAGGAGGAAGCTCACCCGGGTGTGCCTGCCATTGCCATGCCCCTGGGAGCCACTCTGCCTGCCTGCTCTTGACCTGTTGTAAAAGCCAAGCTTGCTCTGGAGACCAAGGATGTGTAGAGTCAGGCAGATGCACATGATGATTCAGGAAGGCTCTTTTGGGGGCATCCAAAGCCGCCTCATCTCATCCCTCCTTTCCCCATTGGCTCCAGGTATCCCTAAGCCTGGCCAGCCAGCTCCAGTGCTCTAGTGCCAGACACTAAAATGCCCCAGTGGGGCCAAAAGTAGCAACAGCACATTTCTTCTCTACAAAGACACCTTTCTTGCCCTTGACATCAAGGGTGGTTTTGTAGTCCTTGGCATTATGTGGCCAGAGGTGAGGAGCACCGAGCCCCACCTTGGGAAGCCCTGGTGGCTCTGGATATGGGTGGAAGGGAGAAATTAGAGGAGTTTTCCCCTTAAGTTAGGAACCTCAAGCTCTCATGACCCAGGGCTGCAAGAAGCTCTCCCTTTGCTAACACTCACTCCCCAGCCTGGCAGGCAGGTACCGCAGAGCTGGAAGGGGCCTCAAGGGCCATCTAGTTCAGCTCCCATTACAGTCTCAGTGGCTTCCTTTCTGGAACTGACTTGCCTATGGAAAGTCATCTGTCCACTCTGCTCATCCACTTTTTAAAGTCCCCTCTGACCAAGAGGGAGGGTGGGGGGCGGGGGGAACGCAGAAGGAGCTCACTCACCTCTTGCAGCTGCATGCAGACTTTGTTGAATGCCCTCAGCCAGTTGGCTTTGGCTCGGGATTTGGCATCCTGAACTTCCACTTCCTCCCTCGCTCTGTAACTGGACACACAGATCAGTCACTGAATGGGGCATCGCTCAGGGACAGGGGCTCAGACCCAGCCCAGGCTAAAGCACAGTCATGTACATGCATGCCCACTCTGGCACCTTTGTTGCAAACCCAAAGTCCTTCCTGGAGGAATCTGGCTCCAGAGGCCAGGACTTAGAGGGAGGGGCCTCCATCTGGTTTGTCTTTTCAACCATTTATCCAACACTACGTGGACCATTTATTTCCAGCTTGCTAGGGACGTGCTGCTGAGAATGCACCAACCCCATCTTCGAATTCACCTGAGAGCATGCCATTACCTACAGGCAACATGCCCATGTCTAGCAGGAATGGATGGATGTCACCCATGAGCCCTGGTTTTGGCATCTATGGCAGAAGGACGCCACCCCCATCCTGATTATGCTGGAAGAAGGGGGATTTACTGGGTTATGAAGGTATTGCCCTTCATCAGATGTGGGGGTGGCAAAGCCCCTTCTTCAAAAATTAAAGGGTAGAAAAGAAAACGCAAGCCAAGCCCAACATGAGTCAGGGAGTTTTCCAG